ATTTCTATAAAACTATAAAATGCGTATGAACTGTATGAAATTGACCTCTAAATTCAAAGAATTCGTGCTAATTAGAATGAAGGATATTATGCTGTGGGGCATGTCACCCTTACTTTTTTTCGATAACGATCTTGTGTGATTTTTAGTTAAAAAATAGGATGTTCGAGATAATTTGAACTATGATATCGTGTCAAATTTTCAACAGTAAACTGCATTATACGGCCAGTTAAAAAAGGAATGCATATCATTTATTTGTTTCCAAACGCAATTACATTTTGATATATTTTCGATATAATAAAAATATTTATATACAATGATTAATAAGGACAAGACTTCAGGGATATTTTTTTAATATGTAGTATACGAAATTAGGCCTGATCATCATTTAAAGCCTTAGGTTTATTTACAGTTTTCATAAACAGCAACAGCGTTCATAAAATGTGTGAAAAACACTCTTCGCATTAGTATCAAGCTTTCTTGTTGAACGTAGAATAAATATTGCATTTGAATGTTAGTTCTAGTCCGTCATACAGCTATTGTATAACTCACACTACATGGATTTCTTAAACGCCCAATTTATTTACGCCAACCTTTAAGAAAAATTAAACCAAAAATAATAGGGTATTCGGAGTCATTTGTGAAAAAGATCATTTTTTACCATTTAATCTCCAAGCATATTCAAAAATACTCTTCAAATATTGCGTACGGCCGTTTCATGTTTTGAAGTCATTCTCAAAAACACCCATGACAAACTAATTAATTTTCTAACGCTTTCATGTAATATTTGGTCTTAATCCTTTTTTTTTCAAATTTTAATGAATTTACCGCGTTTTATTAACAATCTCAAGATATTAGAATCTTACTTGAAACTCGTGCGACAGGAACAACAAACAATTGATCGTTAAAACCTGGTTCATGATTGCAAAGGGATATATCTAATGGTTACTCGACCACTCGTACTGTAATAGTTCATGGCATTACTGGAATTTGCATTTCAAAATGTATTGTTTCGTAACTTGCCTCCTGGTGAACAATTCTTTGGGATATTCGGAAAATAAAATGAATGTAAAGTATAAAAACAATTTTTGATAACAATGTTCAAGTCCACCTAAATACAGTAATCATTGCTGTCATAATTGACCTGCTTCACTTTAAAATGTTATAGGAACTGTTAGGGTATTAAATGTATAATTGTTGTTAATGAGCGATCAGAAAGTATGTTTCTGCTGACCTCTAAAAAATTATTTTCATTATTATATAGCAAGATAAGATTCAAAATAAATACTCTGTTATCATGTGACGATGATCGGAAAAGAAACGGATTTTTTGCTATATAGTACAAACTTTTGCGGTCGAAGGTCAAATAGCTTCAAAGATTGAAGGAAAGGTTTACAGAAATTTTGTAATTAATTCAAGTTATAAATCAATCAATTATAAATCACGATTCAATCAAGTAAATGTGTAAAACTTTAAAATCGACAATTGTTTTAATAAAACGTTTGTGGTCACCGGATCCTTTTTCGTCCTGTTGGTTTTTCTGAAAATTTAAAAATAAATCATGTAAAACTTGTTCAAAGTAATAAGGAATGTACTAATTTCATAGGCGCAAACGATAAACTCAAGATTTAAGTTTTTCTCAGACTCGGAAATGAGAAAGCATGTAAACTTACTTCGGACTGCAATGTGTAGTTAAGCGGAGATTACGCTGCTTATATTAAACATAGAAAGGCATATAAGTTACTATGGCAGGGAATTTGAACTAACGATAAAGTTTTTATTCACTTATTATGATTAGATAAATTCCTTGGATTTCGTCGGTATTATGGGATTTCATGGTGTAATGATTATAACATCAGAAACAAAATTATAGGTTTTTAAACCAAAACTCTTTTTACGCAGGATTATTCACAGGACTGTCTATTATTTGAAAAAATGTTTCAATTTAACATAAACTTCAGCGCTATTCCCAATTGCGCGTGTACCTATCAGTTTTGCATTGGATAGTGGAAATATAACTAAATTAAAACATTCATAACTGAAGATAAAACACCAAGTTGAACAACCAGATTAGTACAAACAATATTTAAAAAAAATGAAATCAATCAGGCCTGTGTCATAATTTAACTGAATGTACTTGATAAAGTTCGTTAACGAAAGTTCGCTTTCCATGAACCTTCCATTTTTGTAATATAATAAATGTTCTATCAAGTATGTTTCGGCATTATCAAATTCTTTGATGACGATTCCGGCTTTCGCAAGTTTCAATTGTCACTTCCAATAATTAACATTAATTATGCAATTAAACGGCTATGTAATGCGTCCTGTTTTACGATCAGCTTTGAAGAACATAAGAAGTTAATTATTGAAATTGAACTACTAAAAATAACGTGACAACTATGAATGGAAAAGCCAAGAAAGTGTTTTCAACGTATATCATTAGAAAATTCAACGTCACCATATTTTCCTCATATGTACCACAAACGAGATAGTATTTAGTGATAAAAATACCTTTACTAATATTGCGGTGATTTTGATAACTTTATTACGGGCATTTAAAATGTACTAAATTTGTGGAAAACGTTTCATCGTAAATCTCCGTTTAAACATTATTAAAATGTCATTATTTTCGACTAATTACTTTGGCCAAGCAAAAATTTTAAAATCAATCTGAGATTTTTAACGTAAGATAAGTTGAACATTGAATCTCACTTTGTAGCAATGAACCGGTTGCAAAAAATATTTTTTATAACAATGTAATGATAAACGATCAGGGCAAATTGCGGAGGTAAGAGAACTGCCCCGGGGGCACAAGTCAAAAAGGTGATAGGTTGATAGGCGGTATTAGTCGCGACGTTACTCTGGTTACCTTTACTTAACATTAGGGGCACTTTGTGCCAATCACCGTACCGGTACCTTACACCGGTTAGATATGCTTCACGGAAGTACATTTCTCAAAGGAACGCCCAAAATCTTAAAAATATTTAACAAAAAGAAAAACGCTAATTTACGTTGTATAAAGCACGGATGCGCTCATGGTTTGCACATTTTTGCATATGGAATAGCTTCGAGTATACACGATGACGAAGTTTCGGGTTTAGTGCAAACTGAAGAAAATTGCTAATAGTCAAATTTGTATTCGGTGTTACAGTGTATCAATTTCTATTTTATCAGAAGATGTAATTGATATTTAGTGATTGATTCAAATATGCAGCATTAAATTTACATTTTTCTGATATAAGCTCGATGAACAAATACGTGTGTAACAAGAACTACGGTATTTATTGTCGGGTATTTGCGTTATAAAATCACGATATTGTCAAACTTGTCAAGCTAGTCCTGCAAAGCATTTAACCTACATAATTATACTGTTGTATCAATTTAAAAATTAACATCAGTTTATCCTGCAAAATACCACGTGGAGAGTAACAGAACATAATAATTAAGACTGCCAATAGAAAGTCATCGTTTGCCGATGATATGATGAAATGGCGTCATATATAGTAAACATGCGTTCTATTGAAAATTATAAATGTTAAATTAGTTGTTCAACTTTAAGCGACGGATCAGCCGACATGAAAATTATACCCCATCTGTTATCCACGTTTGAAATTGACCACTTTTTCGTGGGTTCGACTGGAATATTTATAAACATCAGCAGTGAGAGTATAAAACTGATCGTCTTGTCCTTACTCTTCACTTATTAAAATAGAGTGGTTCGGAGAGAGTTAAAAAAATTTTTCAGCGCATTTGGCAAATTTGCAAGTTATCGCTCATGGATGTTTTTGAATATTAACATTTTAAATGCGAAATGACGTTCTAGTTAAGCTTAGAAGTACGTTATAAACTGGAGCATACTGTATAAAGAATTCGTTCTTTCATTTTTATTCAAAACTGAATAGATATAAGAATAACTGAACCAAAAATATTATTAGAAAGTTGTCTTAGTGTATTGTTGCAACCGAAATGCTGGATTTTGAAAATTTTTAAAAAAGATTTAGTAAAAGCAAGGATTAAAGTTTGGGAATTATTGTTTCGTAGTTATTACTACTATTTTGCTGAAACTACAAATTTCAGGTTTTCCGTTCACGAAAAATCTGGAAAATTTTATTCGTTGAGGAAGGTTGATCCATGGCAAATATTCTATTACTATTTCTAAAGTCGTTGTCTTACTACGTGCTTTTAATTATTGAACTCACGCCACGGAAGTAGAATTTGACAGGAAAAAATGTACAAAACCGCAAGCCGCTAAAAATAAAATCGGTGCCGCTCGGTGCTATGTCTCAGATATGCTGCAATATGATTGCGTGTTCCGTGTGACCATTTTCTCTCACGTTGGTATTGTACTGAAAGATTCTTAATCGCTCGGTGAAAATTTGTTCAATCATGCACCACCGGAAGTTGAATATGAATTATATTTGTACGCAATATCCACTTGTTGCATCGAATGATGTCACTCATATCATCAAATGCCAATAATCGTATTTTTTATTTTTTTATTTACGTGGTTCACCAAAATATGTAATTACATCATAATGCTACAAAAATAGTTAAATAAAAATCTTACGACCCTATTATTGCGAACTAACATTGTTGTGACCGAGGGTTTTCGATACAGGTACCAGCAATCCTATCGGATACGTTCACCGACAGCCGTCTCCTGGTACGATCAACGATGTCTAATCGCAAAGTTCCATCTAAATTAAACCCCCCAGGCCTATGCGCGGTTATTCTATATTTTTACGACGAAATAGATCGTCAATGCCAAATTTATATTTACGTGCTGGCAAGTTTAAATCTGAATTGAAACTTAATACACTGATCTCGACTGAGAACGAATCGATGAACAACTCGAGCGATCGAGAAATATAAATTCACAACTATAAACATATGTGAACATCGCAACATATACAACCACGCGATAATACGAAGTCGAAATTAAATAAATAAAAACGATAAAATGAAAATTAATCTTAAGCCGAATATTATCAGTTTCACAATTAATGATTAGAAGAATTCGGATAAATTACTTATGATATTCAACTTTTGTTTAAGGCATATTGTAATAACTTCAGGTTAGATACAACATGGCTGACACATCACGGCACTCTGTGTCGTTCGTGTTGCTATTATCGTTCCTTGTCATCTCAAACGCTCAAGTGGTAAGATTCATTTTTATGTATTCAATATATTAAAAAACCAATATATTTCAAACTGAAGTTGGGCGTAGAATTCAAACATCGATAAACGTAAAATATAATCTAGTTTAAATAAGAAAAGCCTCGACTTACATTATTTTTACTTTGTCACAGCTGCCACCAGGAGACGCGGTTCTCTCTGGGGGTACAGTGACCATAACTGGCAGCCAATCTGGAGGTGTAATCACTGGAGGTGTAACCACTGGAGGTGTAACCACTGGAGGTGTAACCACTGGAGGTGTGGTGTCAGGTCAATCAGGATTCCAAGTGTCTGGAACCTCAAACAGTATTCAGATACCGCCGTTGCGTGTGGATGAGATAGCAAATGTCGGTGCGTATCATTCACGGTTATTGCAACATAGAATACAAGCGTTTGTTTACATTCGTTTTGTTAAATGTTAAAACTGTATTGTAAAAAGATTTGTATTTTTGTTATAAGTTCTTAGGTTGATAATTTATACTTACTAACTTCAACACTGAAAGCCGCGTACGTTCTTTTTTTCCTTCAAATTACATTAATTTTAAATTCGATTACTAACCCATCCTGCAACCGTTGGTTTGCTGATCTGTTTATGAATACATTTCAGGCGATTTCGTCAACAGACAAGATTACCAGGGTGCGCCTGTTTATTGGGGTAACTACGGACTGTGGACGAATTGCCGCGGAACATGTGGACTTGGGTATCGCTTACGTCAGAGAGTTTGCTTCGCAACTGTAACCTCCGTGGAAGGCCGAATAGTTGTCTCACAAAGGTATAGTAAAAATGCATGAAATGGATCACAGTGCAAACTTTTGGATGAATTACGTTTCCCACAGAAAAACTTGGGATGCAATATAATTATTATTGTTATGAAAAAATCGCGACAATAATTTTTTTTTAAAAAGATCGAGGAAATTGATTGTAAAACACATTGTATTTCATTTTACAGCAACCAACAGTTCGTGCAATCTGGTGTTGTTGGTAACACTGGGATTTTGGCAGGAGCTACTGGTGAAGTAATCAGTACTGGGGGTGGTATTCCTATCGGCCAGTCCCCAGCTAATGACGCCAGTGTTTTATACCAAACCGGTGGTGTGATTCAGGGCGGTGGCCAGTATCAGGCCGGTGGCGCAATTCAGACTGGTGGTGTGATTCAGAGCAGTGGTCAAGTTGTGACGAGCTCACAGCAATACACCGGTGATATATTTGGTCAAGTACCACAAATTTCCCCTCAATACAACACAGGATGTGTAGGAACGTTGGTTCAAGCTGAGGTATATAATATTCATTTCTCTAGTGTTTTATGCGCACACCATATATCGTCGAATATAGAAATTTAACATATAAATTAGAAAACTATGGAATTTTTAGAATTCTAAACCACAAAAATAGAATTGCTGCAGTTGTCTGAATTATAACAAAATTGAAGTAGGCCATCAATCAAGGGGTATTATTATTGGGAGAATTTGAAAGCGAGGGAAAACAAATATATCTCAAATTTTTACACGTGGTGATTTCTTGAGCGCAAGAGAACAATTCAGAATTAATTCTATTTTTCATTATAACAATCATTTAATTGTATTCATTTTCAATGAGAGGTTTTTTATATGTGCAACTGAATTATTTTCCAAAAAATAAATCTGCAAATGAATTTATTGTAAATGGATGTGATACGAAAAAGCCTAAACGAAAACATTTTTATTTATTAGGGCTGTGCTCTCCAGCCTTGTGTTGTTATCGGCCGATGGACACGATGGACGGTGTGGACCATCTGTTCAGCTCAATGCGGTGGAGGAGTTCAGTCCAGGTCCAGATCGTGCGAAGGTGGAACTACATGTCCGCCTGGGTCGCCATCGGAGACGAGATCTTGTAACATTCAACCGTGTGTAGGTTAGTATTTGGAGTACATCGACTACATTTATTTATTCAAAAGTACTTGTTTCATGCATCAATAATCAAGCTATCACGTTTTACTTGAATTTGTGAGAAATAAAATTGATAAATATGTTTCATCAGGTATATGGGGCGTATGGCAAGTATGGGGAGGTTGTTCGTTGAATTGCGGCGGAGGGACTCAGACAAGATTTCGAACTTGCTCCACAGATAACTGTGTAGGATTATCGGCGGAAACCAGAAGTTGCAATATTCAACCCTGCCAAGGTATGATATTGTTTTAGAGCAAATAAACATGTACATAGGTATTTTTACATTTTTATCAAAAAAGAGCAATTGTGCAATATATGGACAACAAGGTCACACCAATACCGGTACCACCACTAAGTCTGGCGGAAAAAACCATCAAATGATCGCAACGGAACTAAAAAGTTTTCCCCTTTAAATTAAAGTAAGACAGAAAATTGTTTGGGATATCGTATCCCATAGGGCTCCGTAAAAATTGAAGAAAAAGTGAAAGTCTTCTTATGACTTCAATCATCTTTAAGTACTCAAAAGGCGAAATCTATTGGTGCATTAGATGTCTTTCCATCACTAATTATCTCGACACTATTGAATGCCAATGACTAAGAATGATACGTCTATTACGTAGAAAGTGTACTCGTAGCGACAGCCCCGTGATCGTCGCTTAGTCCTAATTGTATGGGAATAATTGTACGGGGTGCTTTGCACTACAACATTACGACTTCTTATACTCTCAAGCTTTACTGTTTTATTCATGTATATTTTTGACGTGTGTAACCATGGAATACCACAGAAATATAGAAATTTTAATCGCTTTTATATAAATATATAAACATTTTTAAAGGCCGATGGGGAGTATGGGGAGTATATGATGCTTGTACTGCTCAGTGTGGGGGAGGAACCAGAACTCGTGTAAGAATATGTATTGGAGAACAAAACTGTGTCGGACCACCATCGGAAACAATTGTATGCAATCCGCAACCTTGCTACGGTGCGTATAATTCGATAATTCAATTTTTCAAACAAAATTTTAACTTTGTCTGAATGATCAAGTAGCAATCAGACCGGAAACTAACAAGTTTTATTCATTTTGGTTACTTATAACAATTGCTGTAAATTCATAATTCTTTTAATTTCATTATGTTTCCTTAAATATTAGTTTTGCTGGTGTATATATCTGCCTGGGAATTACAATGTGACGATAAAATCAAGCCGTGTCTGGGAAGTTAATGGAGTACGTAAATGCGCGTGACATAATTTGATACCTCCTATCTATCATTGTCAAATATAGGTACTTACGGAGCCTGGGGAGAGTGGTCAATATGTACTAAAGACTGTGGTGGCGGTACAAGGACAAGCATAAGAATATGCGTTGGCGCTGCTACTTGTATTGGACCAAGCTCAAAGACAGAAACGTGCAATCCTCAAGATTGTATCACCTGTAAGTTATTTCAATTAATCAATTAAGAATATGTAGATGTAGTAGGCTATTGTAGCATTTCCGCCACGTAGGCGACATTTTCGCGAATACTATGTTTCAAATCCACATTAATTCAGTTTTGCGAACATTTCATAACATTAGCAAATAATATCTACTAATAAGTTAGCTAGTAATTTGAGGTAATACAATCGGATATTTAATACGCCTATATTTTCAGATCGATGGGGAGCTTGGAGAGAATGGGGCGGTTGTAGCGCGTCGTGTGGAGAAGGAACTTATACCAGATCAAGACCTTGTATGTATGGCTCCACCGTTTCTGAAGATTCACAGTGTGAAAGTCTTTATGGAGGAAATAGCTTCCAAACAAATACTTGCTTCGCAAAGCCATGCCGTAAGTGTTACATATTATGAAAGAAAACCATATGCCTAGTTAGATATTTAAAGTTAACCTATGATTGTTCTGAAATAACACCGACAAAACTATAAATGGGCTATTTTCTCTAGCCCAATTGAATCGACTAACATTTTATTATTATTTTTACCAGTCTCTTTCAATATATGGACGAGTTGGTCCGGTTGCTTCCCTGCGTGTGGCCCCGGAACAGAGACAAGAACCAGACAGTGTCTGAGCAATGGCTCACCTACTTCGGTACCCGGTGCTTGTAATTCAATAGGAGAAATATCACAATCAAGAGATTGCACTAGAGGCCCATGCTGTAAAATGTTTTTTCATTATTATTTTTCTTCCTCTCATCATTTTTACCGTTTCATTGCTGCTCATCCACTTTTTTTTTATCTATTTCCCTATTCTTTTTCTTACTTATTATTTTCGTAACATAAATAAAACTAACGATATAACAAATCCACATGCTTTGAACTCAAATTGAAAAATTCACAATACGGCGATTTAACCTCTGAAAACAAAGACGTACATCAGTAACAGAAAACTTGTTCTCGAATTCTTTCATATGAAAATTATCTAGAAATTGTTAATATAACCACAGAAAATTGAAATGCTCCTAATTGCAAGCTCAAGGAATTCAAAAATCAATGATTATTATTTCAAGATTTACAATTACAGGGGCATATGGACCGTGGGAAAGCTGGGGTTCGTGCAGTCAAGACTGTGGTCAAGGTATCATTCAAAGATTTCGTGGATGCTTGTCAAATGGAAATCCATACGCAATTCAGAGTGGCCTCACCTGCGGAACATTAACAGTGTTTTCTGAGTCGAAACCCTGTCTAATCCAATCATGCTGTAAGTATGATTTCGAAATTCGAGAAACAAATAATTCAGTTGCAGCTTGAAACTAGCAAACTCATGCCCTTCTTTTATAGTGTTAATATTTTAAAATAAGATTATATTCATCGCATGTTAAATATTATAAACCTGCCATTTAGAGATAAAAGTATCTATTTTCATTACGCTTATATCAGTTTCCTGGAGACAATGGTCGGATTGGACACCCTGCCGTCCAAAATGTGGACCTGGTGAGAGTACTCGAGCGAGAGTCTGTGTTGCCGACGGTGTTCGAACGACTGCACCAAACCAATGCAGGAATATTGAAAACGGAAAAGCACTTGAAAGAAAATCTTGTTCAGACGGACCCTGCTGTGAGTATATTAGGACTGTCCTGAGCCCCCCCCCCCCCCCCCCCCCCCCCCCCGTTTTTTGAATCGCCCATGCATCTGTCATTCATGTTGATTCGACAAAAAAAGAACAATGATACAACTCTTCTTCAATTTTATAAATTTTTTAGATGGATGGGCACGATGGCAGAGATGGACAGAATGTAGCACACCATGCGGCCGCGGTCAATCTAATCGTGTGCGTGATTGTCTGGAAAACGGACAAATATCAGCAAGCAACGACGGTTGTATGCGTCAAGGCGGACAATCTGTACAGACAAAGGACTGCTTCGGACCTCCATGCTGTGAGTAAAAACATTTGAAGGCATAAAGCAGTAGCTTTTTAAGTCGAAATAAAAATCGTGTCTCTATATGGGGTAAGAGACATCCTTCTTCTTCATTATGTTAAAACAGAGGATTGAACGTAGCAAAACATGCCACCAATCTGAATTATCTGTGTATTAGCGATTCCGCTTCTTTTTAAATAAATTTTACTCCTAGTCTATTTCGGACGGATATCAATTATTGCCTGATTACAGCCCAGATTATCGTTCCTACTCCGCATTTTGACTGAAGGTTTTTTATATTAACATATAGACCGTTGGGGTATCTGGACCGATTGGACAATCTGCTCTCGCACGTGTGGTCTGGGCGAAACAGAAAGAAATCGAGAATGTACTTCTTTATTACCTGGACCTGTACCACCGGGTTCCTGCGACAGTTTAGATGATTTCGGTGCCATACAAGTGCAAAAATGTACTCAAGGGCCCTGTTGTAAGTAATATATTATTGTGTTTTTTTATTTTTTGCTTTGAACTTTCATGCCGGCTCTTATCAATAACACAAATAGCTATAATAATGTTCAACTTTTTATTTGTTTCATGTTAGTGTAAACAACAGATAACAAGGGTCAAAATTTGGTTTCTGAGCTTACTAGATGAAAATAAAAGTTTTGCTTTAAACAAACCTTTTCCATAAAGAGCTGCAGTGAAGTACAATTACAAATTTATTTGGTATTTGCAATACTGCATATTTCGTGTGCCTCCTGTTTCTATCGCGTATGTGACATAGTAAATATAACTTTTTTTACTATTAAGACGTATGGGAGCGCTGGACTGATTGGACTCCATGTTCTCGGGATTGCGGACCCGGGCAAATCACTAGAAATCGAAGATGCTTGGCTGACGGTCAACCAGTAAATGATCGTAATCTGTGTCGAGATATTGATGGCGGACAATCATTTCAATCTCAACCTTGCCAAATAGAAAAATGCTGTAAGTTGCGTTCACGTCCGAAATTATTATTTTTTCACTTTTATTTCCTCTGTCAATATACAAATTATGTCCTAGTCGTATGGTGACAGCACATTTGAACTCACGTACATTTCCACCCATAGATTTCAGCACCCGCATATAGATTGCACCCGCGGACATTTGGATCCATGTACATTCTCTCCAACGAACATTGTAAATGTATGCAGGTTCAAATGTGCGCGGGTGCAAATGTCCATGGGTGCAAATGTTCATGGGTGCAATCTATATATGGGTGCAAAAAGCTGCGGGTGCAAATGTGTACGTGGGTTTAAAGATAATGGCACCTAGTCGTATATGTGTTTTGCACGAGTAGAAAATTCATTTAAATTCAGTTAATTCAAACCATGGTTGTCTAACGGTTCAACTTTCATTTACTATGGGATTAATTTTCAATCAACTTCGAAAATTTCAGATCGTTGGTCAATTTGGACAAGATGGGCGGAATGTTCGAAAGATTGTGGTGGCGGTGAAACAACTAGAAGCAGACGTTGCGTTGCCGACGATAACACGGATGGTCCCTTTGACAAGTGTGAAGGTGGTTTTTACGATGGTCAAGCTCCAAACTTTCAAACACGGATTTGTAACCCGGAACCCTGCTGTGAGTTACTTCATATTGTACTTTTATGCAAAATAAATAATAGACAAGAAAAAAAAACGTGATAATATTAATATAAATAACGCCCATTGCGTTTGAATAGTCGGCGTTTCAAAACGTTTTCTAACCAACATTTTGGAAAGAATCGAATCAATATTCGTTACTAGCCTATGGATCTTCTTCTATCTGTCACTTTGGTAGCATTTTCCGAACGTCAAAGGTTTATCTTGGCAACAAACAACAGAGTTTAATTGGAAATAATACGAACACAGCACAATGACATTATTATCAAAATATTTTCAGTCCGATGGTCAATATGGACCGAATGGTCTGTTTGCCCAGTTTCCTGTGGAATTGGTACTGTCAGTCGGTCAAGAGGATGTGTTGCTGATGGTGTCGACGCACCAAGCTACGCAAGTTGTGCCCCTGACATACACGGCTCCGACTCCGTTCAAACTCAACAATGCGAACGAGAGCAATGCTGTAAGTGGTTTCGATTTCATTTTGACAACGATAGATTATAAGTGTCAGGGTATGAAAAAATTAGAGGAGCAGTGTATAAATTAACCCTCGTTTATTACTTATCGATTTTAATCGGTAAGTATGTTGATAGGTATTTGTCTGTTTATCTGTCTGTTTGTTTGTCTGTTAGATGCATGCGATATCTCACGAAAGTGAGATTGGATCTGCTGCAGATTTTGCATGTGCATTCATCATATCTCGGACCAGTAGCCTATTGATTTTGGGCGAATTATGTCGTATAATTAGCGAGTTAATAATTAATTTGTGATGGGACACAAGGTGTCACTATGGAGTAAGGGCGCTGTTTTGGGGGATCCCCTAACTTTCGACCGATAAGTCTTCGGTCTCTGACCGATATTCTCGTTTTTAAGGATTGTCAATTATTTTTATACAAATATGAAGAGCATCGATTTATGTCGCTCGATTTATGTCACTGGGAGTAGGTATATTACAAAAAAGCAAAAAATTATCTGATTCGAATGAAAACTGTGCCAGTGGATAGATCTAAGTTGAAATAGGAAAGCGATACCAAGTTTGCAAAAAAAACGGGCAAGAAATAACGGAGATACCATCATTTTAGTACCGCTGGAAGAACAATCTTTCTCCATAGATTACCATAATGCTGAGTCATGAACTCTGACCGCGAGAATGTAAGACCGATTAATAACAAGTTGTATCTCTTCTATTTTTGAAGGTAGTTAGGAACGAAAGTATAATGTGTAAAATAGAATCTAATGAAACAAGTTCACTAATTCTTTCCAACGAATAACAGGTTTTATCAATAAATTATGTACGAGAAAATGCCGGAACTTCTCATGATAATCGGTTCAGATGACCGCTGCTCGGTAACGGCCTACTAACACTATATAAGTTCACACATACGCAACAAGCAACTGATTCCATATCAATCGCTAATCACTCGATATGCGTCACATCTATGTAATATCGCCAATATTTCAGGATTGCCCATTTGTCACATTACTAACTACTCCTAAGTTTCTGTACTATTTTATCAATTCTCCTCTGATATACATCTATACATCAAAATTACGTGTATTGATGTACGGAATTTTATCATCAGGTATACGACAGAATTTTAAATTTATTTGAATTGTACTGGTTTCTAAAACTTTTCTTGTCTTTTTTTGTCATTAGATGGGTGGGACAGATGGAGCGAATGGGGAGATTGTTCTGCCGCATGTGGATCTGGTCGAGTTTCAAGATCTAGACGTTGTATTGGGCTGTCGGATGGGTTGGCAGTTTCATCGATTAAATGTGACGGATCTGGGTTCGAAACCAAACCTTGTTTCTTAAGAAAATGCTGTAAGAAAATTTTTTTTTAACTATTTTAGAAGCATGATTTCCGAGTCATGATCAGGTCTATAGTCTTAGAACTGCTTACATTTTCAAATTTTTCAATAGTTTAAAAATAATTTCAATCAAAACTGATGGATATGCCTTGTGTCCTCATTTGTGCTCTCTTTTTGGAGAACAGAGAACAGACGCTTTTTGTGGTTATAACTTTTAAATTTGTCCAAGTAAAAATTATATGCGGTTACTATTATGAGTTGATTTCAGTTAGCAGTAGAATGAAAATCCAAAAAAAAACACTTTTGAATGAGTATACATATTTGGACACAAATTTTTCTTTTTAAATTGAAGATCAATGGATGGAGTGGACAGATTGGTCGATTTGTTCGTCATTATGTGGTCTGGGATCGTCAACAAGAAACAGAAGATGTGTGACAGTAGAAGGAAATGAAGATGCTCCATCATATGATCTTTGCGGAAGCGAGCTTTCCTTCGAAAGTCGACCTTGCCAGATTGACAAATGCTGTTAGTATAACTAAGAGAGTTTAAAATAGGAAATAATGTTCGCGTGAAACCAAATATATATATATTAGTTTTTTGTTCTTCACTTTGACCTAGATTGGAGTGATTTGCCAATCGGGTATAAGGCAGGTAAAAATTTAGCCACTTATAATTCCTGACCAAGTTCCAGGGATATGCATGTTTGCTCGATTTTACCAATTTATTCGAATCTATCCGTTGATTACTTTCCAATCCGTTAATTATTCACAAACTTCTTCAAGATCGCTGGCTACGTTGGACCGACTGGACAAACTGTCCTGTATCTTGCGGCACTGGTCAGGTCACTAGAAACCGTAGATGCGTCGACGACGAAGGAGTAGAAGCTCAACCAACAAAGTGCAAAGCTGATGAATATGATTTGAAAACTTTCGAAGTTCGATCATGCAACCCAGGACCTTGCTGTAAGTGTCGTACATCTTTGTATTCGAAAATAAAATAGAAAAGCCATTCATCGTTCGTACCGCTTTAATCAAAAATTAAAATTGGCTATAGCTCTCATCTCTCCAATGATTTCATTGAGAGTATTTTCATTCATAGTTGATCATGAATAAATTTTATATATGCAGTTAGATGGGCAAGATGGACAGAATGGACTACTTGTTCGGCAAAATGTGGTCTAGGTGTTGAAACAAGAAGCAGAAGATGTGTCACTGTCGGAGGAGATCAAGATGCTCCATCTTCAACAGTTTGCGGAGATGGAAATGCTTTTGATAGTAGACCATGTCAAATTGACAAATGCTGTAAGTGGACACAACTTTTTGTCAAAATTAAATCAGATTTATTTACTAAAAAAAGGGAATTAGGCTTGTCACTTGGAGGGTGAAATTACAATTTCATAAAAACAAATAATCATTTATTTGTCATTATAAAATCAAGTGTACTGAAATACAAAAAAAAGTTCTCTTCTCATAATGCCTAATATATTTATGTCATTACCTCAAATATATTATTTCAAAATTGTTGCAGATTTGCCTATTTTTTATCTAAATTGGGTTTGAATTGTTTTTTAATTTAATTCAGATCGTTGGTCAAGATGGACTGATTGGACACCCTGTCCTGTATCTTGCGGCATCGGCCAGATTTCCAGAAACCGAAGATGCATTGACGACGACGGACAAGACGGTCAACCAGAAAAGTGCAAAGTTGATCAATATGATGATATTAGAACCTTTGATGTACAAACATGCGACCAAGGACCTTGCTGTAAGTGACAAACTATCAAACGAAGTTTCTGTAATCCAGTAATCACTTCGCATTGGTGGATCCGGGCTCTATATTGAGACAATTCAATAGTCTTCTGACAATTCCGTGTAGAATATGCTTTCATCAATAACTTGATTTACAATCGAAGTATTCAAACTCATGTGACTACAATTTTTCTATATCAACTCGAACTTTCGCTTCTAGCTACTAAATGCCAAGCGTTAAGAAAAATCTCCCAATGTCCCGAGGTAGTGGTTGCGGTACAAAGCAGTATCAAGAATGATAAAAAAAGGAAATATCTTTTCACTTTATTGAAATATTTTTTTCATTTGCATGGTAGTTTTCAATTTATGACACTTATTTCTATGAAACTAAACGATTTACTCTCAATCCTAATTTGAAGTCGTCAAAACAAAATTAAACAAATGTTATAAAACCACGATGGATTTCGTTCAATAATTGAGTTGATTGTTTCCGTATGTAATAAAATCATCCAATCTCGTATGTCTCTCTCGATAGCCATCTTGCCATGTTAACCATGTATTAATTTTAAATATGCAGTTAGATGGGAAAGATGGACAGAATGGACTACTTGTTCGGCAAAATGTGGTCTAGGTGTTGAAACAAGAAGCAGAAGATGTGTCACTGTCGGAGGAGATCAAGATGCTCCATCTTCAACAGTTTGCGGAGATGGAAATGCTTTTGATAGTAGACCATGTCAAATTGACAAATGCTGTAAGTGGACACAACTTTTTTTCGGTCAAAAACGGAATTAGTTTACTTCATAACCAACCTTAGATCAACAAACATCATTTAAGAAAATATGTTTTTGTATTTTTTGATTTCTACTCCAAGACGTTGTTGCACATTTCTGTTATATTTGATCTAAATTAGTTTTTGATCATTTTTAAATTTATTCCAGATCGTTGGTCAAGATGGACTGATTGGACAACCTGTCCTGTATCTTGCGGCACGGGCCAGATTTCTAGAAACCGTAGATGCATTGACGACGAAGGACAAGAGGGTTCACCAGAAAAGTGCAAAGCTGATCAATATGATACTAATACGTTTGACGTGCAAACATGCGATCGAGGACCTTGTTGTAAGAAATCTGATATTACAGAATAGTTGTTAAAATTATGTTCAAATATCAATCATATTTCATTGTTTTTTTGCGCATGCATAACCATACATTTGTTTATCAATTGAAGAACCTGACAATTGTAATGAAATTCGACTGGCAATAATGTGAAGTGCATCGCTACAAATCCTAAAATGACACACCAATATAATTTAAAACTTTAAATTAGGTTGCGCGAGACTAACTCCCTATCTTTCCTCTATGCCTTCATGATAGTGGATCCGTACGCGCATAATGCAATGATACTTTAGTTGGAATAAATTTGACTATTCTATCCAATTAAAGAGTTCAACTGCACACTAACATAAATGTATTTCTGTAACGTTTTGTCCGACCAAAGTCAGACTTCCTCAGACAAGCAGTTTACCTTTGGTGGGACGAAACGTTGCAGAATTGGATAGAATACTTAATGCGATATTTTAATTTGAACTTCTTAAATTCTAGACACTTTATCCCTCTGGTCGGATTGGAGTAAGTGCACTAGATCATGTGGAGAGGGTATCAGAACTCGATCCAAATCTTGTCAGACTATTGGAGGAAGAAGAGTTTCAGACAGCTTCTGCACTGATTTACTGGGCGAAAGATTTGAAACACAAGATTGTAATCTTGGGGATTGTCGTAAGTTTATTTCAACAAATTAACCGTCAACCAATACCAATAAATTAATTTAACCGTGTAAAAATGCAAAACTTGCTTAGTTGTCGAACTCAAATTTCAGTGAAACTATCTCAAACTGTACTTTTCAATTTCGAAACTTTATTTAAACAAGTAATAATAAGACCACCGTGGTATCAAAATTGTCACAGCTGAAATCGCTGATGCATCCAGAGCTGTAAATGAAAATAAATTATTACTACCTATAACTCCATCTCATATGAATGTATGGTGAGTGGTGACATATCGTCACATTTCTCAATTAACTAAATAACGTTTTTAGGGGATGAGTGCAGAATATGAGTTCTAAATTATATTTATAAATATTCAAATTATATTGTCACAGAATAGCTATACTTGGCTAACGTATAGTAAACATATTAGTTCTTGTAAATGTTATGCATGCTAATATTAAATAAATGATAAAATTTTATATAAATCTTTCAGATCGATTTACCGATTGGGGAAGCTGGACGGCTTGTTCTGTACCGTGCGGATCAGGCGAACAACAAAAGCGTCGAAGATGTGAAACCGTGTCTGGAATTCAAGCATCAGATTCTCAATGCAGTACAGATCGAAGAGATTTTTTCATTACAATCAAATGCTTCAAAGACGATTGTCGTGAGTATATATATAAATATTTTAAATTACAGTAATTAGCTGTTTCAATGGATTTTATCTTCCCTTCGAATCCACATTGCAATTAGATTACTCATTTTATTTGTTTATATTTGCAAAATAATTGATTGAATAATTACAAGAATTCCGAAATTCAGTAAAAAAATATTGATACTGAATTGAAGCTCATTTATTTGTATATTTTTAATTTTTTATTTAATTAAATTTTTTTTTAATACAGCTGGGTCATGGAGACAGTGGGGAGAATGGTCGAGATGTAGCGCTACATGCAATTCAGGATCGCAGGCCAGAGTTCGATTTTGTTCAGCCAAGAAATGTTTTGGAAGATCACGAGAAACAAGAGTGTGTAATGACGTTGAATGCATACGTAAGTATAAATTAAATATTTTACTGACAGGCATATATTTTGGTTTAATTTTGCTCATATCGATCAAAACTTGCCATTGTGAAATTAGACAAAGTAGTTCTTCATCTGTTCAGTTTTAAATTGAAAAAATAATTATAAAATAAATCACTGATAATTTTGCACGCTTTGTAAAATTGTTCCAAATATTTTACAAGGATGTAATGTAGTATTTTCTTGTTTTTCTCAGCAATTGAGGACTCCGGATCTTGGTCATCCTGGTCATCTTGGTCGTCTTGTGGCGGCCGATGTGGAGTGTCAGAACAAACGAGAATCTGCGTAGGCGGAACGACATGTGGTGGAGAAGGTGTGTAGGTTGTTCCAATTAAATTGAAAATATAAAACACCACATTGTTACTTGGAGTTAAAAAATTTTATAAACTTTAAAAATTATGAATAAAGTAAAGGAGTAATGACAAGAGGTTCATAATTCGAAACCGTCGTTTCGAACCAATCTTTTTTGTTTCCAAGTGATTTTATTACTTAAATTTTCTTCGAATAACACAAAAATCTCAGAGTAATAAATAGTTAACTCAAGGTTAAGGCAAGCAACTCGACGAATTTCTCTTTTTACTGCACAGAGCATCGGAGGACAAGAGAATGTTGCCCAACAGATGACGGACAGACCTACGTCACTGGCGGTAGCAGCGGCGGTGTAATTACAACAGGCGGAAGTGGCAGCAGTGGTGGTGTAGTTATAACAGGTGGAAGCGGCAGTAGTGGTGGTGCATTTATAACAGGTGGAAGCGGCAGTAGTGGCGGTGCAGTTATAACAGGGGGAGGCAGTGTCAGCGGTGGAGGTGTTGTCATCACAGGTGGCAGCAGTGGAGGTTTTAGTACCACGACTACTACGATATCATGTACCGGAATAGGTGATCGACGAGATTGTGGATTTGAAGGAATAACGCAAAGCGTAAGTATAAGAAAATCTAGCTCTTTGTTTTTCAAATTGTATCTTGCGCATATCTAAGGTCGATTTTTATCCAGAAGTTCACTAGTGAAGACTTCTTTTTCCTAAATAAATACTTAGGTTTGAATGTTTTCCATACTGGATGCAAATTGTTTTATGAAATCAGGTGTGTAGTTAAAAAACGTAATATACTCACAACGACCTGACGAATTTGGAAGTTTAGCTACCATGTGACTTGCATCCTGGTTATGTGAAACCCGCAAAATAGCATAATGCAATTCTTTGATATTCAATCAACTTTAAGAAGCTTTTTTATAAACACTCAGTTGTCATGTACCTATCCCAAACCTTGAAATATACGTCACAAGTTTGATAACGGTGTTTTATCGGCTTTTATTTTTCTATACTATTATTTCTGAAACTTTATTTTTAGGAATGTATGGCACTTTCCTGCTGCTGGGATAACTCAATCCCCAATGTACCTTGGTGCTTTGTTCCAGGTAAAACATTTTTTCTTAAAATGCTTTTAATGGATATATTTCTAGGTTTTAGAATTTTAAGCTTGATACTGCCTACAGTTAAGTAGTGTTATATGTACATTGTATACCATTCGTAATGGAAGTTGAAAACATATATATTTTTTAAATTTTTGGCAACTTGGTACTAGTACCAGCAATCTCCAATCTTTTAACCGGTCCTTAATTAGTATATTATATTTATATAATTTTTATTTAAGGTATTATGGTAACGTTTGTGTTGATAAACAGTTTATATAAAAACAAATGCTTTATGGTAAACATTATTTTAATGATTAAGATGAAGCTATCATCACCGAAGGAGGAACTGGTGGTGGTGGAGGAGGTGGGTTCCTTACTAGCGGAGGAGGTTTCGTTTCTACTGGTGGCGGATCATCTACCGTTACATCTTCATCTAGTGGATCGCTTTCTGTCGTCACGGATGGCTCAGGTACCACCAGTACACTTACTCAAACAGGTACAGATGGAGTAACAACCATTGATACTTTCGACGGTAACATTGGATTGGATGGTCTTCTATCCGAAGAAGAACGTGAGTAAAATCTTTTGCACATAAACGTTTTGCTAAAATTAAATTTTTGTCAAAAGGTGTGACAAAGTAAACTTAATGAAAGTATTACTAAGATGGGTTGAATTTGACAAAATATTTGATTTTTCTGTAGAGAATAATAATTGATAAAGAAATAATAAAACACTTAGGAGCAAGTAATTTACTTATAGGAGTCATGAATCAATAGTGCAAATTCGGGAGTTGTAGCTTTATTACACAAACAACATAGCACAGTTTCGAGCGTTTTAAACATCTACGCTCATGACATTGTATCTAAAATATCACAATCTACTTTATAGCAGTGTTAGCCTGGCCCTCATACTTGGAACACTTTGAAAATAGCCATTTGTGAATCTATACATATGAATATATACACCCGGCTGCGTGACTGGAAATGAGGAACCAGGGGGTGTATAATAAAAATAGCACAGAATAAATGAATTTAAAACTGATATTAACATTTTTTGTGTTTTACAGTTAGAAAATTGGGAATCAATATACCATTTTCGCAAGGCCCCGTCGGAGACATGATGAAGGACAAAAACAATTAGAAACTTGATTCTGATCATCGTCGTCAAGAAAATAACTCTACGTTGGTTTCTATGGCGATGAACATTCGAAATTAAAATAAATACAGAGAACTTCAGAAAAATATCGTAGATTGTCAAGAACTTTGTCTGATTGTCATCAATGTTTTTTTGAATATTTAGATATTGAGTATTTTTTTTAGTGAATCCCTCCCTGCCTCAGATACTAAAATTATATATATAATATTTTTTCCATAGTCTTTCGCTATATTTTCCTCTCAATCTAATATCGAAATTTTCAGATTTTTATGCGTCGAAATAGCCAGTCAACAAAAAAACTAATACTATTTCCTAGTCCAAGAATTAGAACATATTATTGGCATGCCATTATCCTTGATAGTACTTGGAACTGCCTTCAGTACCTCGCCATTGCCTCGTCACCATCTTAGAAATTAGACAAATACTAATTGAAAATCACCATATAAGTATTAGAATTGAAATAGCATTGATGAACAAACAATAGATATAATTGAGAGATACTTATTTCTGAGTTAACACATTTTATTCGTCTACATTTGTGTATAATATATGCCTACAATATACTAATAAAACAACTCTGACAATGTATGTTTTTCTGAACGCGGGATGGATTTCGTGAATGTTTGGCAGATTTTATAGAGGTAGTAATTGACGAAGAATATTCTGAACATGACATTAATCAATAAGATTCAACCATTAATAAAGTGACATTATGGGTTTCATAATCCCAGTGCAGAAGTATAATAGCGTGATATAAAAACATTGGCAGTCATAGCAATCTTATCACATGTGGTGCTTTTAAACTCTCAAAAAAAATTTAAATAAAAAAAATCTTGCAAATTTTCGTATGTGATTCATATAATACATTTTACTAAAAGAACAAACCATGTATAACAAATTTTTATCACCAATTCATGCACTCAGACATACATAGTATATTGTCCTGTTTTGATTCGAGGACACTTCAGAACCTTCTATCAATCAATAAAAACTGACGCTGTTGACTCCGAATACAGGACGTTGTTTTTGTTCAGACATTATCAAGTCTGGTAACCAGATATATAACGATACAGTATGTGAAGAACAAGTCGGATTTGCCTATATTTCAAAGTATTCGGTTTTCATAATATATGAAATCCATTCTGGTGAATATTGTAGTACTTGATAATTACACTTCTAATAACTTTGTCCCGTAAATGGGAAAGTGTTCAGATGCTGATTCGAAAAAGAAGTCAACAAGTGTAGAATACCATTTTGGGTGTCTAGATGAGTCATAAGCAAAGGTTTATTGCAAGTTATGCTGTTCTAACTAATAAAATAGTTTTCTATTTTGTGTAATGTTGTGACGTCTGAGCATGTAGAATCTGACAACGATACTCCTTTAAAAATATTAAAAAAAACATATTGAAAAAGAAATGGGGCGAGGTACCAAAGAGTATGCTTCGGGAGAAAACATTTAGTATTGAAATTCATTAAATTTAATCTGTTTTAACAATAAAAACAACTCTAATACGTTGCTTTGATGTATCTATTGTTTCGTGACAAGCCCAATTTTAAGAACTCGAGAACAATTTTATAAACATAGAACTGTATCCAGGGCGGATCAACTGCTTGATAGTATTATGATTTTGTGCTGCAAAGTTGGTCTACCTCTAACACTACCATTTCGCCAATTGGGTTTCACGCTCAACAGGGTAAGAACGACATTCTTGACAATTTGCAGGCTTCAGAAAATCCTTCAGTTGTACAAATAGAATCAGTAACTAGTCTAACGCCTTCTAACTGTGAATGCTTGTATATTTTTAATATACATGTATATATATACTATTTCGATTTGAGGATTGCTAATTTGTTGTCGCCAATTCTGAAACATGTCATAAAATTGAGTTGACGATTGCTATTAATCAAATATAGAAAATATATTCTCATCGAGATAATTACAAATTCTTATTAAAAATTTTGGATCAATTATTAAAAATAAATATGCGTTGCTAACCCGCAGTTATAATAAAAAAAATTATATTTGCGGTTGTGTGGGAGGCAATATTGTCCATCTAATGTTTCATTATATATATACTTTACATACTCCAAAACGATTTCTATGTTAATTTTCTCAATGGGAATTTATATTAGTTTTGAATAACTAATAATTCATGTTTGACTTATATTCTTTTTTTACATTCAAACTCTCTGTAGCGTTAAAATAGACAAAGTATATATAAATAAGACGTAAAATCCCGATGTATTGTGAATTTCTTAATTAAGATCTTTTAAATATTTTTAATTTCAAGTTAAAGTGATAACAAAAACATGTTTGTGCGAACATATGGCACAGCTCGCACAAAAGTGGTTCGCAATAAAGGCTGGTCACTAGGAATAGCAACATTTTTATTCTTCGCTCTCGTTTTTCTACTGAGGAGACACGAAAATGCAGAAAAACATTTCTTTCATGGAATAAAACCATGGAAATCTTCTGCTTCAAAGCAAGAAACTATGGATTTAATATTATCTTCTATTGAATTGCCAGCCTTTTCGACGGACGAAAAATGGGCTCCAATTTTGCCTATTGAACCAAAATGGGATGACTTCAAGATCGGTGAGGTTGGGCCAGTCTTCGATTTTGAGTTACCAAAGACTTCAACAACGCCCGCTGTTGTTAAACCACACCCGAAAGGTAAACTTAGCACGATTTCGAAAATCATGAATCGTTTTACTATGATTTAGGTCATTTCGGAATGTTGGTAGCCAGATTTATTCGTATTTAGGCTGCTTTGAACAAATTCCGGCAGGAGGTACATCATGGGTTGTGAAGCAAAAAAACGTACATGACACTCGTGGGACCCTTAAGAACACAATAATCGACCCGACTCCTTACTCTGCGTTGTAATCAGTCATCTTTTTACTGCGCCATGACACAGTTATTAACTTTCGTCTATTTCAGTCGAACTGCGTAATTACAATTTCTGATTAAAACAGTAAAATAAGTTGTGAAATTAAGTTAGAAAATTGGTTAGCGTTCAAAAGGCTAACGGAATTTGATAACATAAACCATTTCTTCTCCAAACTTTTGGTAATCAATTTTAAACCAGAACATATTTTCCTATCTAAATATTTATCATTTTAGAATTCGATGACGATGGAAACGAATTTTCATTGCGATTTCTCATTGTCGGTGATTGGGGTGGACAATCAGAGGAACCTTACACCACCCCGGTACAACTAAACTTAGCCAAAGCATTGGGAGAATTTGCCAGGCGATATGAAACGAAATTTACTTTGTCGCTGGGAGATAACTTTTGTGATGAAGGAGTGACAGACGTTGATGATCCCAGATTTAAGGTGATGTCATGCTTCTAAAATATGGCTTTCATTGGAAGCTGTAGCATCCGGATGTAGCGTCAACTTAACACATTTATTGTTAATTATATGTTTATTAACAAACAAACAAAAACTTAATAGTTTATGGTTTCATGACAATTGCGGCACAAATACACACTATTTCGTGAACTTGGACATAGGTATCAACATGTATTCTTATTTAATGTAAGAAAGCAATATAGAAATATGTTGTAAACTGCTTGTCTGAGGAAGTCTGACTCTGGTCGGACGAAACGTTACAGAAATACATTTGTGTTAGTGTGCAGCTGGACTCTTTAATTGAATAGAATAGTCATATTTATTCCAGCTACAGTATCCTTGCAGTATACGCATACGGATCCACTAGCATAAAGGCATAGAGAAAAGATAGGAAGTTAGGCTCGCGCAACCCAACTCAAATTTATAGAAATATGTGCTTACAAAATACCGTTCCATCAACGTAAACAACCTTAATATTATGACATCGCGTGGATGAGAGCATCTGCTTTTAGCGCGTCGGATGCTGGAAAGATATATGAACTTGCAGTGAATAACGCGAATCCTGGTAATCATTTGAAAGAAGCCCAAGTACGCATATTTCTTTGTTCAATTTTGATTGAATTCGTTGCATGCTCGAGACCCTAATGCAAAAATAGTTTTTTTTTTTATTTTATTTATTTATTTGTAGAAAAAAGTTATCATTCGATGCATTGTTTGATTTCTTTATTTCCTTTCAGAATACATTTGAAGACGTGTTCACAGCGCCCTCATTAAAAAGACCTTGGTATATAATTGCAGGAAACGATGACTACAAAGGCAACGTAACTGCTGAAATCGAATATACTAAAAAATCCAGGTTAAGATTGAGTTTTGTAAAGTCCCAACTACTTGAAAATGTGTTACAAATTAAGTCTTTTTATGCAATATTGCGCTTTTTGTATACGATATCAGAAGAGGGCGTATTGTGGGGAAATGAATTTAGCAGTCGGGTATTTATTGTAATAAGAACTTGCATTATGGATAGTTGCAAATGAGATCAATATTTTTATTGGTCCATTCACAAATGAATAGTACAACAAATTAGATCATGCGAGTGTATCGGAAAACATCCGATGCCATTTGAGAAAAATTCATTTCATTTTCCAGGAGATGGTTTTTTGAACGAGAATACTACAAGCTGTCTTTCCAGCTTCCATCCTATCGCAATGTTAGCATAGATATATTAATGATAGACACTGTACAGCTATGTGGAAGAATTTTACCCGGAGAAACGCAACCGATTGAGCCAGACGACGAGGAGAAAGCTGAACAGCAATGGAAGTGGATCGAAAAAAACTTGAAAAAGTCATCGTTAGTCATTTTAAAATCATATCATAAATCGTTCATGAATATTTACGAACAAGTTAATATGTTCCTGAAATGTAAATACTTTATATTTCTTAGGGCGAGTTATCTTCTTGTTGCTGGTCACTATCCTGTGGTGTCTGGAGGAAAGCACGGATCTACGGTTTGCTTGAAGCGACGACTGAAACCTTTATTAGAAACTTACCATGTATCTGCATATTTTTGTGGCCATGATCACAGTGTTCAACACTATCTAGGAAAAGATACAAAGGGAGTCAATTACTTTGTGACCGGAGCAACCCATCCTCGGGATGATAGTCCAGATCACTTGGATGGGCTGATGGATTCCAGTAAGTTTTTTTGGACTGCAAGTTTGGACACCAAAGTCGGAGCTTTCACCTATTGCGATGTTACCAAAGATTTGATGTCCATTCTTTTTGTGAACACGAAACAAAAATCCCTGTACTATACAACTTTGTTACCGCGTGCCAACAAGCATGTGGTAAAGAAAAAGCCAATGATAGACGAACATATTTTCGATTTGGTAACGGAATTTGGAAATTCAACGAGAATCGCGAACTTGACGATTGAATAAAGTTTGAAGTGGTAATTTGCAATACTATACCAGTGCTGGGCTGATTATTAAACGAGTCAATTTTCACTGTAAGCATTGGATCGTTGATATCATACGTCGTTTCGATGTAAAATGAAAGAGTTGGTGTCATATGTAGAAAACCAAAGCATTCATTTCACCGGGAATTCTCTCCGACACTTATACTTCGAATATTTGTGTAAATTCTTTTATGTTTTATTTATTATTTGGAAGCATATCACGATTCATAGGTTAGTCAATACATTATTTCATGTTACGATAGTGATATAAAC